GTTTAATAGTGTTTGTCTCTGTATATTTTTCAGTTATACTGCTTGATTCAGATTTTTGCTTTTTCTGTATTTTTTGTTTGTTGAACATATATTTTCTACATCTAGTACTTGTTAGTACCGTTAGTCCTTGTCTTGTGTCATTCAGGTTTATTTGGTTTTCCAATTTGATTTTTGTATTATCATGTTAATATGGATTAATTTTTTAGTTACACTAGAGTTCATCTACACTTACAGTTGTTAATGATGTGTAATTCTTAGGTATTATTGATGTAACTAGTATTACGTGCAAAAAGTTTATTACGCCTTTCTTTAAATGTAACTCTTTTTGTATAATCATTGTTTCTGTTCTTTTGGTATGCCGAGGCCAAGCTAGATGCAGAGGAGACAGAGATGGAATCGTTTCCGGTGCTGTTTTTTTTTTGTCCGTGAGTATTTCATTCAGTTTTTTATTAGAAGTTGTACATCCGGCTAGTATTTGTTCTGTTTCTATTTTTTGTTGTCGTTTTCTTCTTCTTCTTTTTTTTGATCTTGTGTTCTAGAGATGTTCAGGCGGAGGCTAAGATGGAGGTTTCATTTGTGTGATTTGTTCCCTCAAATTGCTTAAATGATCAGAGAGGTTTCATTTGGCATGTGGTAGTTGGTCCTGCGGATTTAGTTGATCATCAGAGATGTTGTAAAAGGTGTTCTAGGTAACTTAGTTTGGTGGCCTAGTTAGTTGATTTTTACAATAATTGATAAAATGAATCCAGTTACAGTGCTATGTTATTAGATTTATAGTCATTTTTCATTGTAAGTTATTGTACTAAGTGGTGTAATTTGATGGTAATGCCTTATTGTCTTCTTGTTTTTTTTTCATCCTTAAATTTTGTTTTTTGTTGTGGTATGTTTATCTGCATCAATGCTATAGTAATTTTTTTTATTTTGCAATTCATAGAAATTTTTTGCCTTTTGAATTATTTTTAGTTTTGATTTGTTTGGTTCACCAAAGAAAGGTTTTTTGATTTTGCAATGCATAGAAATTTTTTGCTTTTTTAATTTGTATATTTTGATTTGTTTGGTCGTGTTCTTTGGATTTTTTTTCAGGTGTAGCATGAGATGGATTCTTTGGTTATATTTGAATCTCAGGTACTTCTAACTATTGGCTTCCTTGTTCTAGTTTACTTAGGTTTTAGTATCTTGTTACAATGGCTTGATTTTGTAGCTACAGTATAGTTCAATTGTTGTCTGTTTTTAGATGGAATGCATAATTCGTGTGATTTGATCTCCTGTTTCACTCAGTTTTTGCTTTTGTTTAGATTTGTGTGATTTGTCCTATTTGGTTTACTCGTGTGATCATAGGCTCTCAATCACACAAATTTTGGTTTTTGTTTCATTTGTGTGATTTGCCCCCTCAAATTGCTTGAGTGATCAGAGGGGGTCAAATCACCTGAGTTGCAAATAGACAGATCCCAAAAAAAAGTTATTATTATTCAGATAGTCTTAGTCAATAGTTTCTGTTGAACCTGCTAAACACAGATATTTGTTCTTCGGCAGCAAAATTTCTATTTCTATGCAAAAGGTTTGCGGAAAGCAGAAATTAACACAGATACTTTGTAGTTATCAAAGGTCCTGTATGAATTTTCTCCGTTTTAAGCTATATAAACTTCCCCTGGTTAAGCTCAGAAATAACCATGGGACTCAGCTAAACCAGTTTAGATTTGATACAAGACTACAAGAGTAGCCGCTACTTAATAATATAAGCTTTACATTACAAGGGTTTTCCGGCGCGGGAAGTCGCCGCCGTTGTACAGCTCCTGCAGGCAGGCAGGCAGTGCCTAGTAATGAACCAATCAGGCAATCACACACAAAACATCTCATCTCAAGGGGAGATTGATCTGGGGATGATGATGTCGCCGATGTTGTTGTGCCATGGGTCGGCGAGGTGGGTGGCGAGGTTCTCCAGCGGGCCGGTGCCGGGGTACGCCGACTGCTGCACGCAGAAGCCGACGAACGCGAGCATGGCGAGGCGGCCGTTCTTGATCTCCTTGAGCTTGTACTCCTCGAACTTGACGGGGTCCTTGGAGAATCCCAGCGGGTCGAAGGCGCCGCCGGGATACTTCTTCTTCTCGGGGTCCTTCTCCATGGTGCGCTGGTGCTCCGCGAACGCGATGGCCACGAACTCGATCACCAGGATGGTCGGCAGCGAGCCCCACGGCACCGGGTTGCCCAGGTACGTCGCCTGCCCGCCGGGGACGGCCGCCCACTCCTGCGCCTTCACCCAGTTGCCCAGGCCCAGAGCCTCCGGCACCAGGATCCCCGGGACGGCCAGCATGGCCCACCGGCAGTGGTACACCTCCGACTCCTTGAACCGCTCGAAGTTCTCCGGCACGGTGGCCAGGCCCAGGGGGTCGAACCCGAAGTCCCTGCAATCGTCAGAGACAGAGATTAGAGCACGCCGCGCGCCGCCGTTGTTTGTCAGAGACTCAGCCGCTAGCTTACCCGGGCGAGGAGCCATCGAGGTGGGGAGGGCGGGGCTGGCCGGGCATCCACTCGGCGGACATGGTGACGCGGCCGGAGGTGGTGGCGTTGGCGCAGAACGGCAGGCGGCCGGACCGGGACGACGGCGCTAGCAGGCTGGGCACGCCCACGGCGCTGCAGCTCCTCAGTCCGCTCGACGACGCCATCGCCATTGCTGCTTCCGCTGATCCTGGTGAGGCAGAGAGGGTGAAGAACAAGTGGCGTTTGAGAGCCGAGCAGAATCTGAGGCTGCTATTAAGAGCGCGAGCGGCCGGAGACGGAGCGGGATGGGGATATCCAAAACCCGCCCGCCATTGGCAGCATTATCCGTGTGCCCGCGCTCCATTGGGCCACGTAGGATCGAGATATCTCCAGCCAACCTACCCACGTGGCATGGCCCTTCAGCGTCTTGCTGCCACTTTGGCGGAGCACTCATCGCCCTGGCCACCTATGGAAAGTACATACGTTCATATCATGCTTTTGCATCCATATACTCTGATATATTAGCAAAAAAAAAAATTGAAATGAATGGGCCTCAAGATAGAACATGTCAGAATTGAAGTGCTGTTTTGAGAATACATCATCAAGGTTTAAGTGATTTTTGTTGCGAATTACACATTATGGACGCACATACTTATACATCACCGGTGCACGTAGACTCAACCCTATAAAAATACCCCCCTACTTCTACGAGCATCTCTGAAAGACCGAGCTGGCAGGCTTATTTACTCCTGTGAGCATCTTTGAAAGACTAAACCAACAGATCTCGAGATTTGTGTTTCATTGTCTATGGGTATTGTTGCCTACCACTAAAAATAACAATGTCATCAAATCCTATAATAAATCAATAAAAATACGAGGATCCGCATCAAGTCGAGAACTTCCAACATGAGGAAGCCAACTAGCCGAGCAACACTCGGCAAAGTTTAAGTGATTTGACTACTATATAGACTAAAATTATGTCTTGGTCGCCGAAAAAACCATATTAACCTTCTGGCTATGTGAAGTTTGTCAAAATACTTTCAATTTGATCTCCTTGAGATGAACTTTTACACTACTAAACAAACGATTCTTAGAGACGATCAATATCAATTTAGGGGCAGTTTTTTAGAACCCCTACCATGCCACTAATTGTAAAAATGGGGCATGGTGGTTGACTTGAAATACTTTTTTTTAATTGCAAAAATATTAAACCGTGCTTTTTTTGCATGCACAGGGTCTATCGCAATAAATATTAACCTGACATTTTTCACACAAGTACGCCCCTTGAGATTGAAACCCTTGACCTCACGTCTCGTGCTAACAACCCTAAGTATGATATACTATCCTTTTGTATTAACTTTTAGGAATCTTGTATTGAATACTTACACTCCAAAATAGTCTCAAATGAAAAGGTTTCAACTAATCAACATTTAACTTGAGCAATGGTCTAAAATTTTGACCCACATGATAAACATGACTCGAGGGCCAACTAGAGGTTTGGGTCATATAGAAAGATTGGGAGATCTTGAATAACATATCTTATTGGACCGGTTAAGGTTTGTGTGACCGTCATAGTAAGTTTTGAACATAACTTGTATAGATATCGTGCTATGGGTGGTAGCACATGGAATGACCGGACGGACCAGAGCTCAGCTGAGTGCGCTCAAGGGATGACAGCTTAGTCGGGAAGCGGTCCTATCTAAAAATGTGGTATAGGTTCAATGAAGCAATAAAAAATTATTTTATTTAGAGACACTTCTACGACAAGATGCTCATCGGCGACTCCTTTATCATCGATGAGCAAGTCATGCCTTCTCTGGTCTGCTAAGCATTTCCAAGAGGCTCTCTACATAACTTTCTATCATAAATTCTAGAAAACAAACAAAAAAATCAAGCTCCAACATGCTCTCCTAGGGCATGCTTGGATGTTGTAGTTTTAGAAAAGTATGGTAACAAGAAAGTGCGGTTAGTAAGCTAAAGATGTGTGAAACCATGATTTAGAAAAAGAGGCATTGAGTGTCGTTTTTAAAAACTCCAAAAAGTTTGCATCCAATACGCGACAGTTTTGGAAAACCAAAGTATTTTACAAAATCAAACTACCTTTTCAATATTCTAAAAATACTTCACGTCTAAAACAGGGTCTATAGTGGGCATACCCACCATTTTGTGCCCCACAGGAGATGCTGGGATCCTTTTGCTGTTATCTCAGAGCAGCAACTGGCTGGGAAATGATGCCACATTTCTTCGTTCTGGCTCAAGAGAAAGTATCAAAATTCTTAGCCGATGAAGGTGTCACAAGTGTGGATGGATCTATGAAACAATAGCAGATCACATCCTCAAGCCATTGAACACTACACAGGACGTGAAATGCGCAAAGACAAAGAAATTAAGATGGCAACACTGCATTCTCATTTCTTTATTTATCTTGTTGGATCATCAGGCAATGTAAATTCGCTCACAATCACACGGAGTTGATACATAAAATTGATAACGATCGCGGCGTCATTCTCAGCCATAACCTACTACACCATATTTCCCCGCGACGTCGTCATCGTCGTCACCGGCTCCGGCGGGCACGGCGCGGTGCACATGCAGACACGGTGGTCCGGGTCGGCGACGTCCCTGAAGCAGTAGCCGGCCGCGTGCCCCTCGCTTCTGCACGTCGCGACGCAGAGGTCTCTGCTGTGGCAGTCGCCCTGGAACGTCGTGCTGCGGCTTATGGCGGAGCACTCATCGCCGGTTGGGTCACCCTGGCCACCTGTCGGACGCATCCAGTTCAAACGAAACATTACACCCATTTTTTTTCTATTGGTTTGAAGAAATCAAGCAATGCAAATACGTACCGATTGTCAGGAGTAGCAGCATGACGATCAGGGAAACTGCTGTTGCCATCTTGCAGGGCTTCAACTCCATGGCTGATAGTGATATAAATCGATTTGAGCTCAATTCAGAATTTGCTTTCGTCTAGAAAAACTCAAAATTTGGTGGCGACGATGGAGAGGATCCAAGCAGGTGCTAGCTATTGGTACTGTTGGGGGCTTGGGGCTATTGGTACGTTGTATTTATATATATGCATCGCTGCATGCGTGCTTGCATAGATAGCAAGGTGGATATTGATTGCCAGCCAAAATGGAAGCGCATTATCATGCTTCTATTTGCATAATTGCTCTCTGATGTTACCAAAAAATTACTAGTACGTGCGTGCATTTGCAGTTAATGAAATGAATGTCTCTGAAGATACACCATGTTAGAGTTGGTACTTATTCACACAATCACACTCCTACATAATTGATTTGTAGAGACGTCTATCTCTAAAAATAGTTTCCGAAGGGAGCCTCTAGAAATGCATTTATAGGTGAAACAACAAAAGCCAAAGTTGTAGATCTCGAAGAGTCGTACAACTTTGTAGTTGACAACTTTTTCATTTAAAGTCATTTATCCAAGAAAAAATTATGTTCCAATTTCTCATATTTAATTTTTTTTTCAAACGATCTCACATGGAGAAATAGACAAAACCAAAGTTGTACTACTCATGTGACCATGTCTATGACTTTGCAGTTGAAAACTTTTTCATTCAAATTCGTTTAGGATCTCAAATGCTCATTTCAAAATCCAGAAAAGTGAAAATACGAGGGAAATAGATACGCCTTACACGGTCTCAGATTTAAAATATTTGTCAATTAGATCTAACATGCAAGCACATATGGATAGTTCTCAACATAACATGTAATTTTTTAAAATTAATTAATGTATGCAGAAGTTGTAGTTTATTCCATGGTGTCTCAACATGTGTTGTACCTTTTTTTTCTTGAACGTCAAAAATATATAGGTGTATTTTAGTTATTTATTTAAATTGGAACATGAACGTGTTGGCAACGGAACATCAGTCTTGAACATATTGGTACTTAAATTATTTATTCATTTTCATAATGCCAACTTAATTTTTTGCAAATGCACGTTCTAGAGCTTATTTTGCAAATGCACTTTAGGGCTAAGATTTATTTGAAATCTTACCTCCTATGAGGTAACGGGAGTACCTTAGCAAGGCCCAATCCTCAAGGGGAACGTTAACGCGCGTCGTCTACCTCGCATCCGCCTCCTCCCTAGCCTCTTTCTACCTCCCTGTGCTCCTCCTCTGCCGCACCCTCCCTCGCCCATCCATGACCTCATCGTACTCGCCCTCGCTGCCGGCCCCTGCCCCCGCCGCGGCGTGCTAGGGTTTGCCGGAGCTCCGATGAACCCTAGCACGTCCACGGCGGACGCCTTCTTCCCCTCCCCCCATTTCGCCAGAGCTCCGCCATGGCTGTACTCGCCGACGACACCGAGCTCCGGCCATGGCGCCCCCCTCCCTGGCCCGGCCGCCACCGCCTGGCTAGCCTCCCTCCCCCCGGGCGGGCCCTTCTGTAGCCCGCCGAAGTTGGCTTCTTCTCTCTCTCTCCAGCGACCTCCTCCTCGTGGAACCCTAGCCACCGGTGCTCACAGATCCAGGAGGAGGAGAGGAGGAGGCCTATTACCGCACCGGCGGTGGGGCTGCTGCCGCCGCCGGAAGGCAGGGAGAGAGGAGCTCGCCGCGGGCGTGGGGTCGTCGTTGCCGGGGAGCGCGGGGTCGGGCATAGTCGGGCGCGCACATTGGAGTCACGCGGTCGCGCCGTCACGCCGTCGCGCGACCTGTCGCGAAGTAGACTTTCCGAATCCTCAAACCCTTAGCAACTTGTGAAGAATAACTAGTAAAGGATTCCATGAGAACATAAGCTCTAAAGTGCAAGTCTAACTGAGTACCACCATTATTAAGATGCCGCATTTAAGGATGAATAACAAGTTGTTTCACTTAAGGACCTACCAAACCTTAGTGGGGCAAGCTAGTTAAATTTGGTTTTTTTAGGGTCAAGTGGGGGAGTTTACTCCCCCGCCTGAATCTTATATTATTGGTCCATAATGGGCCGCAAGTAGTTTACAAAAGGTGCTTTTACAAGAGCCACAATAAGCAAAGGATTTACATTGCAGAATCGAACACTAAACACCAGTTGTCGATGAGAGGTGTCCTTGCCACCGACATCGCCATTGGTCGAAGCTGATGCCAGGAGGGAGCTTCACCTCAGAAAATCACATCATTTCAATGCTTCCACGATAGTTAGAATTAATTGGTCATGGTCGTCTGCACTTTGACTTTGTCAAGGTTGTTGAGGTGCTTCTTTTCAGTGTTGCTTAGCATGATGGATAGATACATTTTCCTTCAAAGTTCTTTTGAGCTTTGTTTTTTTTTAAACGAACCGGACAGGAGAGCTGCCCGCTATATTAAAAAGAAGGAATGTCCGGACAAGCGCTGTACAACCACTAATAACAAGCACAAACACAAAGGGCGAAAGAGGAAAAAGACCTCCACTGGGAGGTGCCGATCAAAGTCCTCAGGAGCTGGGTATGCCATCAATGTGGTCGGTAACCCCAGACTTTCCAACAAGGAACTCGAGCGGTTTGTGCCTGCAAAAGGTCGTTTGAGGGGGTGTGTGTGGGTGGGGGGGGGGATGTCAGGGAGAGCAAGAATGAGATGTGACTGCACACGTTCAGCATGGAGAGAGTAGAGGAAGGGCAGCAGCGAGCACCACAATGCAATATTGTTGTTGGGGGCAGGCCCCACCTCTGAGCACCCCATATGGCTCAATCGCCGCCCCAGCACCTCGCGCGGGCGGAATGACGGGAGTTAAGGGTATCAGCTCTTAGGCGAAAAGGCGTGCAATGGGAGAAGAGGAGCGTGTCGAGTCCTCTCGGCGGGGCAAAATGAGGGCAGCAAAAGCCGCCCCATTTCTTGACGTCCCTTTTCGTCATAGCGAAAGGGCGGACTCCACGGCAAGGATCAGCCCGTGTCCGGTTCCGCTCCTTTCGCCCTGGCGAAAGGAGTGGAACCGGCTGGGATCGACGCCACAGGGGCGCGCGCAGTCAATCCCAGCTATTCGCTCAGACGAACAGCTGTTAACGGTTTGGTTGATCGTTTGTGCCGGTTTCACCAAAGGAGGGCGTGCAGTCGATCTCGGCTATTCGCTCAGGCGAATAGCTGTTGACGGTTTAGTTGATCGTTTCTGCAGGTTTCGTCAAAGGAGGAGCCAGCCGCCTTCTCATGGCCGACAACTTTTGTCCGCCAGGGGCCCGCCCGGTCGGTTGAACAAGCGACATAAGGCAAAGTCGGTCGGGCCTCTCCGGGCCGGTGCTATCTAACGCAGGCGGAGACTCCAAATGGCGAACAAGCCCAAAGCTACGGGGAATATTTTCCGAATTTGTAGTAGTTGAGAGGGCATTTACGTCCTATGAAAAGCCTATGAGCATGTATAAATAGACCCCATTGAGGGAATGCAAAGGGGGAAACGAGTTGAATAAAATCGTTCATCTTGTTTCGCTTGAGTCCCATTTAAGACTTCTTTCGTGCTTGATTTCGCCCGAGCGACAACCGGTGTTCGAAGGCCTTGGCCTAGAACAACATTGGCGCCCACCGTGGTAGTCGCTCGAGCTTGTCATGGCACCAAAGAACAAAGCGTCGAAGCTACCGGCGGACAGGGCGGAAGCATCCAAGGCGGTAGCTTTCGCAGTTGCAGGGACAGTCGTACAAGATGGCGCGGCAACAGCAGAACCACCAGCTCCCCAGGCGGTGAGAGACAGCACGGTGCCGACACACGAGCGAGGGAGATGGCGGCGACTTTAGTTGTGCTTGTGCGCAAGGGGACCGGATGAAAAGGAAAGGAATGAGAGGGACCCCTCCCCAATGCGGTTGTAGGGCCTTCTAAAATCCGATGAATTTTGGCGGATTGTCCGCCAAATCATGGTGGATTCGAAACCTTCTGCATACTCTGATTTTTGTTTACTTAGTAGTGATTCTCTGAAATGAATTTAGGTGACTGGGAGCTAAAAAATTAGCCTTTTCTGATTCACTCCACGCAGTCATTGTATGCATAAGAGTTCATCCTAGAGATCATATATTATTTATCCAAGAGAATCAGCTTCCATAGAAAATCTAGAGCATGAGAAGCTTTGCTAAATAGGCCCTTACATTATAGTGGCTCACAAGGATTGTCTTGAAACTAGCAGGTATCCCGTGCTTCGCACGGGCCAGGAAACCAGAATTATAGCACATCATACAACTATACATGGGAAAAAAGATTAGTAACGTTAGTTACAGATGGGTTCTCATTCGGTAGGATACTGTTGGCATAGTACAGTGCTATTTCAGTTGTATATGGAGACTCATTTTTGTGCCGACTGAAGCATTGAAGAGTAGGATATCTGCCAGCGTGTACACGTCCAATATCAACCCTGCACCAAGAGAGTATTATATGTTTGCCAGCACTTGAATACATTGCTACTGATCAAGTATTGACAAATAATGCAGTGGTATATGTAAGCCGAAGGATTGGACTATCTAATTAGTTCGCAGTTGACGTTGGACTGAGTTAAGAAGGCAAAGTAAACCATTGCCTAAACTAAAGGTTTTTACGGTTGCAGACTTGCAGTACATCACCAAGAAAACCAAAAGGGGTAACTATTTCGTCAATTGAGAGGCAATTGGATTATTGTTCATGTGCTCTGGAAATGCAATCTCTTTGTACTGGAAACAGAGGGTACCAACTGGAGATAGAAGCTATTTTATTCATTGGTGAATATACACACACGGCAGTGGATCAGATTATCAGTAATTAGGTACTCAGTGCAGGCAAGATCAGACACCTGATATTAGCCTTAGGAACAAAAAATTGTATCGATTCAGGTACCGTCATGACCATCAGTAAGGAATAATAGAACAGGTGGGTAACCTACCCTCTCCTCCATGATCCATAGCATTGCCAAAGGCAAGGATTGAACAATTTAATTAGTTGGCAGCTAACATAGCTGTGAAATAATAAGGTAAAGAAAATCATTTGGTTAAGCTAAAGGGCTTTACGGTTTCAGCCTTGCAGACATGGCTAGGAAAACAAAATGGGATGATTATTCGATCAATTGAGATGCAACAGGATTTAAAAAGAGAGCATACTTGCTGCCCAGTTTCCAGGGGGACGGTGTTGACGGTGTTGCTCTGCCTGCCGTGCAAGAGAGCCGTAGGCAGGGCCGAGTTGCTGCACAATAGAAGCTCATGTGCAAGGGAGACGGCTGCTGCAGATGAAGAGTCCCTGCAGAACTGCGTGGGCTGCGAAGCTGGACCACATAAGTTTACTCATTAAAATAGCGGCAAAATACATTTGACACGTCAGTATTCGCAGATTTTGGCAGGTCTGACATGTAATCACATTTCACAATGTTGGCATCATAGAATACAACGTGATAATTGCGAGCTTGGAAAACATTAAATTGGGATCTAAGCATGGAGGAAATATAAGCTTATATGTGTAGCACCAAAACAATAAGTAGAGTCTAAGCATGGATGGGAATCACAGCAGCTAATCGTTCACAACATATGTAGAACCTTACCGAAACCTGCACGAAAACATTCTGGTAGTGGATTTAATCTCTAAGGGGAAATATGGAGGCTTTTTTTTAACTGACAAAACCACTGTTGTTTACATCTGCATTGCAAATATAGACAGAGATTATATTTATCATAGAGAATGGTGACTGAAGGGCGGGCCTGGTGCAAGCGGTAGAGTCTTACCGCCTGTGACCGGAAGGTCTCGGGTTCGAGTCGCGGTCTCCTCGTATTGCACAGGCGAGGGTAAGGCTTGCTACTGACACCCTTCCCCAGACCCCGCACAGAGCGGGAGCTCTCTGCACTGGGTACGCCCTTTTTTTTAGAGAATGGTGACTGGCATGTAATTAATTTGTGGGACATGAAGCAATGATCCTTTCCGAAACTTAATATCAGAACGACCTGAGGAAGTCCAATGAAGTCCATCTTTGTAAGGAAAAGAACATCAATTCATTGGCAGGGAGGTACATGAAGCTGTATGCACAGACAGGAAACATACACGGTAGGAGAGACCAGTGAAGAAGCAACCATACCTTGAAATCCCTGTAATAGACAGTTGCTGTAACCATTGCCATTCACAGTTTTTAAGACCTCTGCTGTTGCTTCGAGCAACCCTTAATGCAAATAACTGGAAAAAATGTTTTCAGCAATATGTTATAAAACGTTATGAGCAGGTATGACCACAGATGTCATTTCCAACAGACAACCAAAAATATACAAATGAGCAGTGCATGACTCTATGCCAGGTTATTTAAAAACTGTTTTTGTAATGCCACTCACCTGAGGTTACTCTGCCCATGAGTAGTGTCCTCTTTCTGCTATTTTTTCATTACATAACAATTCCCTTTGGTTGCCACTTTCAGGACTCAAACTTGAGCTTTGCTGTGAAACATGACCTTGAGTCAAAATAGGAAAACCAAGGGATTTGCAGACACTGATGGTGTCACTTACTATGCCCTGGGTAGCCAAGGTGATGTAAATTAGGACTCTGAAACAGTAGCAACAATTCAGAGCTCAATAATTTATGACACTAATCTATGAACATAAAGGTAATGGTCACCATTCAATACTGAAACTAATCCACAGAAACCCAATGCAATGGAATCCTTACGTTTGATGATTTTCATACCATTCCACCTTTGACATGTATACCATGACAAATCTTGTATGTGGGAGCTGGCTCATCAATGGATAATGTAACTCTTCCCAGAAAAATCATGTAACTGTTCCCAGGAAAGTCAATCTGGTCGCACTGAATCCTAAAAAAACGAAGGTATGAAGGATGGAGAAGGCCTTTTATGTTCCAACAGATCATAGAAGGAGCAAGTAAGAAGCATAATACATGGAGCAAAGACCTATGCAGTACAAACTTTTGCCCAAAATAAATCTATAAAAATAATGGGATTTCACAAAGGCCATGGTACGTAGCCGCTGCATGGTAAAGATGCAGAGGGCATGGTGATGTGGTTGGGCACAGCAAGGAGGGAGGGGCAGACGACGGAAGCCCACCTTTGGCGGACGTGCATTCTCGCCCCTGTTCGCTCGGACTTGTTTGGCTGATAAGCCATGACTGAAAGTACTGTTGGTTGATTTAGTGTGAGAGAAAAATACTATTCGTTGGCTGAAAAAATACGGCTTATAAGCCAAACAAACCCAAAAAGTACGGCCTATCGTGACAACTGACAAGAACACCTCTAAGAGAAACTAGGTCAGCAGTTTGGTAAAATTACTGTAATCGTCTCATTGTCAATAGGTGCAATTGTTCCTAATGAGCTTGAGTTGGTAATTACTAGCTCGATTTTAGCTGCTAGTTCGCAATTATTACCTTAGTTTCAGTTGCTCTTGATTGTTGGGCCGCGTTTAGTTCGGCCCCGAATTCGGCGCCGCCGAAATACTATGTACTGTAGCGACACTGTTGCACACTGTATCATTTTGTTTTTATTTGGTAATAATTGTCCCATCGTTGACTAATTAGACTCAAAACGTTCGTCTCGCAAAATACAATCAAACTGTGCAATTAGTTTTTGATTTCGTCAATATTTAGTACTCCATGCATGTGCCGTAAGTTTGATGTGACGGGAAACCTTCTTTTTACATAATGCCAAATTCTGTAATTTGGGGCAACTAAACGTGGCCTTGGTGTGCATGTCTGTTTCATGCTGCTGCTTTTTTTTTTTGGACACTTTGCAAATACATGAACGTTCCATTTTCCCACCCTTTTCTCTAAAAAAGAACTTCAGCTTAATTACTATGCATATTCTTGTCGACTTCATGGCAACAAGCAGATGGTGCAAAGAAAGCAAAAATACGGTGTAACTCGACGGATTGCCAAGGCCATCCTATATTTCCATTAAAGGATGGATAGCATAATTAATATCAACTCATTCAAGGGCCCACACATCATAACAAAACAGCCTGTTCATTTCGGCTGAATCGATCGTGGATTATAAGCCAGAAGTACTGCTGGCTGGTTTGGTGTGAGAGAAAAATACTGTTCCAGCTTATAATCCACGATCGTATAAGCCGAAACGAAACTAGTCGACAAACCATACGACTCATCAATCAACAATTCCGCATTTAACGAGCCAGGGTACAACGGTGCAAATTTGCCCCCTTCTACAACTAAAATACATGCCATGGCTCTGAGTCCATTTTTGCGCGAGTTCGAGATGTTCCAACATTTTATGTTATTCCAAACAACAGCTAAAAGAAAATGGCCGTCAAAATTGCAGCCTTTTTCCTAGGCTACTACTGGAGGAACGAGTACGAACATCAGTGCTTGGCGCTGACAAGAGCCATGTGGGTGATCAGGTCCAGAACCCGGTTGCTGTCAAAGCGAACAAAGAGCATGCATTCTTAGGAAAATGGAAGGTTTAACCTTCAACAAATGATGCTGTGAAATAAGTAGCAAACTCTTACCTGTAGCCCCACTCGTTGTCGTACCAAGACACGAGCTTCATGAAAGAAGAGCTCAGTCCAATACCAGCTTTGGCATCAAAGATGCTTGACCTGATATACAAAGGCAATGATAGTGATTTCAGCTACCTTCCCACCCACAGGACAAGAATTAGGCACTGGATTGAGGTAATCACCTAGAATCACCAACAAAATCATTGGAAACAACGTCCTCGTCTGTGTAGCCAAGAATACCTTTGAGGGCACCCTCTGACGCTGCCCTGAAAAAAAAAAGAGAAATGGTCTGTAAGATCCACTGTAGGTTGGCTGATAATATGCACATGGTTCTCTCTGCACAAACCTTAGGAATACTGCAGCAGAACACACTTCAAATGAAGTCCACACAGAATTTCTAGTGTGGCCAGAGTAACATGAGCATGCAATTGAGCTACCTACTGTCCAATTGTGCAGCCTACAGTGAGCAAGATGTTGAACCTAGATATTTTGTTACCTCTCTCCAGATCTAACAAATCTACAACTACCTCTAGTTGATGTAAATCATGTGCTCCACAGTATGAAGTGCTATGACCATTATGAGCCTTCAAATTATTGATTACTAATTTACCAAGAGGTTGTGCTTTCACTCATCGGAATAACAAACCAGAAGCTGAAAACCAGACGGAAGTCACAAGTGAGGTATTTCTACATACTTGATGGCTGCTTTCACATCATCATAGGAGGCGCTTTTCTCAATCCGGCATGTCAAGTCCACAACAGAGACATTTGGTGTTGGAACTCGGAAGGCCATGCCAGTGAGCTTTCCATTCAGCTCAGGTAGGACTTTTCCAACAGCCTGACAATAAAGCGAAACCAGTCAGTGCAAAATTTGAGTCTAAAATAAGCATGGCGTGCCTTTGGCTTCAGCTACCTTTGCGGCACCAGTGGAGCTAGGAATTATGTTTTGGCCAGCACCACGTCCTCCTCTCCAATCCTTCATCGAAGGACCATCAACAGTCTTCTGGGTGGCTGAACATGGTAAAGTAACATTTTCATGACAATTATTTTGAAAATGCATGAAAATGGCAAATGACTTAACAGGTAGACACTGGATTAAAGCCAGTAACCAAACCTGTTGTGGCATGAACAGTTGTCATAAGGCCCTCCACGATGCCAAATTCCTCATGGACAACCTGCACACCGTGGTCAACAAATTAGTGTTTGGAAAGGCAGAAAAATGAAGCACAAGAGCCATTTATTGTGATTGCCAAGAACTGTTGTTGGCAAAAATAGGACACTGGCAAACAGACAGCAACAAGAAAAATGACCTTGGCAAGCGGAGCAAGGCAGTTGGTTGTGCAACTAGCATTAGAAACAACATTCATCTTTGGATCATAGCTATTCTCATTAACTCCAACTACAAACATGGGAGCATCTGCTGATGGTGCAGATATCACCACTTTCTTAGCACCACCCTGCAAACAAGACAGCAGAAACCTCAACATGTTTTCAATATGAAAAGATATGTAGTTAGTTAGATGCCATTGTTAAAGACTGGTAGTCTGGTACACAAACCTTTAAGTGTGCTGATGCTTTATCAGTCGTTGTAAAGACACCAGAAGATTCAACAACATATTCAGCCCCAAAGTTACCCCATGGAATCTCTGCAGGATCTCTGGAATATTGAAGCAAAAGGTTGCAAGTTCTTAGACATATCTTGGAGTAAAAAATGGTAAAACTGCAGACCAAGAAATAGTAATGCAAAACACAACAAATCATTATATGACTAAGATAAGCGCAAAAGATGGTAGTGGTGCAGTACTCCAGAAATACAACAGTGTCGTGTTTGTGCTCCAAAAATAGCATAAGTAATTTTTTTACAAACATTGTATGTCTACATAAAACACTGAACATTGTAATGGATCAAAGAAATTTGGCATACTGGATGGCAAGATTGCAAGTAATAAAGTGTGCTGAGTTGTGTCTTCAAAAGAGGCTGAAATAAACATTTCTCAAGTGATTACAGGTAATTCAAGCACAATCCATCCATAGCACAGAAAGAGGTATCTACCCACAAGTATTCACCAAATCCAACCTTACTAGCACCACTGCAGTAAGAATGCAATGTACAATAAGCAAATAAGATACTGATGTGACCTCAAATGTCAACATTACCTTTTGCTTGTAATTGTGACCTTCTTCCCATTGATCTCCAGGGTTGAATCATCCACAACACGAATAGAACCTTTAAACGGGCCATGAGTGGAGTCATACTTGAACATATAGGCCTGGAAAGGGGAAGATTACATAGAAACTAACATACAAACACAAACAATACCAAACCTCATGCATAGACAGAGACAGTTGTTAAACCAACAGGGAAGTAAAAAAATGTAATAGTAGCACTAAAAAATCTGCTAGATTCACATTAGCTGCATCGCTCCAGTGGATAATGTGCATTCACTTGACATACAAAATTTGGAAGCTAGTTGGAAAAAAAGATAACAATGCTTTTGTAAAAATAAATAAATAAATTAAAAAAAAACAACAACATGAAGGATCAGTATAGCAGTTATTTTGTAAAGCCACCACATGCATATCATACTTAAGCGACTATGTGAAAGCACATGAAACATAACATAAATGAGCTAACAGGAATTATAGTTTGCATCAGATTAAAGAGAACTATTTCAATTAATCTAGTGTTGTAGTCTGGACCGTAACTGTGTATCTTTGCTCAGGTAGAGCAGTTCTCAAATAACCAGAAGGAAAATGCAAACAAAACTCTTAATTAGCTCATTGCTGTTAAATGAAACATCCAGAATCTGAAATTTGAAATGTTATAACCAAAATAATTTGAATTAGCTTCCTTACCATGTACTTAGCATCAACGAAAGGGTCATTCACAGCCACAACTTCAATATCGTCTCTGCTGGTTGCAATTCGCAGGACCAACCTGCCAATACGCCCAAACCCTACAGTAACAAGAAAAGGGGTAAGAATGAATCAGAAATACAATCTGATATAATTCACCTAGTTCAGACTTGCCCCAAAGTGCAAAGTAACTCAGAAAGCCAAGAATGATTTGTTTTTTAGAATGATCTATTTGCTAAATGCAGTTAGCTAGTGCAACAAATACTCAACCGGGAGCCTTTGTAAAACCTTAAAAGTTAAAACATGACATCTCAAGTGGTGCATTTGTAAAACCTTAAAACATGACATCTCAAGCCTAAGACAGAACGCATTGACCAGCAAGGCCCAAGGTGGTCAATGGTTGATCTGTCTCATTCAGATTACAAGACAATAGTTTTCATTCACGTCAATTTTGTTCCTACAATTGTACATAAAAGAACTCACCATTGATGCCAATCTTTGTCTTCTCCCCACTCGAATATTCTACAGAGAAACAAAGTAAGAACAAAATTATGAATCCACCGCAGTCTGTGCAATTCACCTGAAAATGTTTGATCGGTGCGTACAACAGCTACTTACGTGGCATGGCAGGGGGCGCCTGTGTAGCTATCGCCCTCAGCGGCTCGATGTTCCTCGCACTTCAATTCACAAGGAGTTAGACAGACTATACTAATGTCTGAAACTACATTTACAAGGCAACAGGGACTAATAAGGCGTGAAAAGTGAGAACTTACGCCGAAGAGGAGGCCGTGATGGAGGGGAAGGCGCAGCCAAAGTGAGCCGAGCCAGTGCTCCTCACGCACGAGACCTACAACGTATCAGCCAAATCGTGTCAGTGGGGGCACTGCAATGTGCTAGGAATCACAGATCACTACATCAGGGCTGAGGACAATGCAATCAATCAAACAGGAAACTGATGTCCTCCCGTGGGGCACCTGGAAGGAACTTGGAACTTGGGACAAAACTCCGACCCCAGAATTTTTAAAATAAAATAAAATAGTACAGTGAAAAACTCTGATTCCCTGAAGCCTGCAATTTCACACCCAAATAAACGGCCGGAACGCAGTATTGCAATTTATTAGCCTAGCACAACACACGGTTGAGAGCTCCATTGAACCGCCACCAGACTAGGATCGGTACCAAATCTAGGCGCGGCAATGAATCCGTGAAAGGAACCCGCAACCCATCTGCGCGAGGCGCGAGCTGCTCCAGCGAATCGCCAACAACAGTATCGGGGAAAGAAAAAAGCAGTATGCACGCCGGAAACGAATAGAGCACGGGCATGAGCAGTATACCTTGACGGGGTCGGCCGCGGCGGCGCGGGGTCCGGCGGCGACGGCCGCGGCGCGGAGGGGCACGGAGAGCGCCGCCATGGGTGGGGATGCGGAATGGGAGCGGGCGGGCCTGCGCGTACGGTGTGCTTGGGTTTGACCGACGCCGCGAGGAGGGGACCGGGGCAGGAGCGAGGGTTTTTGCTTTTGAGATTTTTTTCATAAAAGATATAAAAGATCGTGCATATGCTTCTGAAAAAATTCGCCGATCTTTAAGCGCCATTCTTCCAACTTTTTGGTCCTCTTATGCCACTTCGTCGGTTTTAGGCTCTAACGCGTCAAGCTGCAGGTGTAAAAAAGCGAAAAATGCCCTTAAGTTCAAATATGTTTATTAATTTTTTTGAGCATCTTACGACTTCAAATGAAAAACTCAAAACTAGAAAGTTGTAGATCTCGTCGAGATCTATAATTTTCATATAAAAATTATTTTCATTTAATTCCGCAAAAAAAATATGATTTGATATAATTAATATATCTTAGAAAAATCATCATATTTTTTTGCAGAATTAAATGAAAAAAAAAATTATATGAAAATTATAGATCTCGACGAGATCTATAACTTTCTAGTTTTGAGTTTTTTCATTTGAAGTCGTTAAGATGCTCAAAAAAACTTAATAACATATTTAAACTTAAGGGCATTTTCATCTTTTTACACCGTTAGTTTGACAGTGTTAGAGTCTGAACTGACGGAAGTGGCATGGAGGACCCGAAAAAGTTGAAGTAGTGACGCTGAAGACCGCTGAATTTTTCCAAAGACACAGAGAGAATTACGATCTTTTATAATGGCACACATGGAAAAGTCTCTTTGCCTTTCGGGGGTCGGAGGCGAGCGGACGGACAGCGGAGAGAGGAGGGGGGGAAGGTGGCGGCGAGGCGGAAGCGTTCAGCGCGTGATCGTTCCTCGTTCGTATAAAAAAAGAAGAGGAAAGGAAATACGGAGTAAAAAAAAGGTGGCCGTGCAGCGCAACGCCGGCCCGGGTGGGTAGGTAGCGGGTGCCCGTGCGATCGCCCGGCTCGCGCGTCCTGCTGCTGCACTTGTGCAGTTTGCTTCGCCTACCACCACCAAACCTCCCAGACTCTGGGCTCTAACTCCTAACCACTCCGGTGAAGACAACGAGGGGTCCCACCAGGCTGCGATTAAGAAAAGAGATCAATTGCCATTCGTCTGTGATTGTATGGCTCTATGCGTGCTACCTTTGACTACATCGATGTTTCTCACATCCAATTGATTTCGATTTTGCCTTCTCCTCCTCCTCTGATGTTCGGTGGTTGTTTTTCTTTTCTATATAAGTAGTCACCTAGGGTTTGGGCTCTGATCGAAAGCACCGACGTCTTAGGCTGAGCTTGGAGTGCCTGAATTTCGACCCGTAAAAACGATGGATAGCTGATTCGCGAACCTCCCAGGCAACCTCCTACTAAGCCGATATTGCCATGGCGGAGCAGACGGTTGGCGGCTCAGAGCCTCTCCTAAGTGCCAGCTCCAAAGTGAGGTGAGGGGTTGATTATGCAGCGTATGGGCTACACCAAGGGCCTATCAGCGCCATCCTCTTCGAAGCTAGAGGCCTTTGACAAGCTCTTCGACGGCAACCTGACTGCGTCTGAAGCCGAGGCACTGGACGAGCTCTTCCCGACCGTTGGAAAGGCCCCGTCCAGGCAGCCGCGAAGACGCAAGGCCACCTCCTAGGTCACGAAGCTGCGTTGATATTTGTTGTTTCCTTTTATATAATATCGAAACAAGAGGTCTTTTGCTAGGATGGTCCAGCTTCGGCTGTGTTAGGTCAACCTCCTTCGGCGCTCGATCGAAGCGCGTCGTTTGTTTGTTTAAACTCTTCTCCTTGATATAATGATACGCGAAGCTTTTGCATATGCGAGAAAAATGTTACTGTCGTAATGCTATTATAACAATTTTGAGATGCACAAGCGTCCTTGTGTAGTGATGCAAGTTTTGACGGCTTTATTCACTGTTTTGTCTGTCTAGAATTTATATACTTCTATTAAAACATATTAATAATACCCCCTCCTATACACGCACAATTGAAACAAAGAGACTGTTTGACACAGTTCTAGCATTCTATAGTTGTATAAGTATTAAATTAACGGATTTACTAGACGTCTGATCCAGGACGCTAGAGTTGGACAGTGCCCACGCGCTCGTGTTTGACGCACCCAGCTCCCTCTCCCCATACCCATTGTAACACCCCGGTGTTATGCCTACATTTAGGCACTGCTAATCATACATATCATGCATCATCAAGCATCCTAATCATACATGTCTAATCATGTAAATAACAATTGAAACACTGCTTCAAAACATTTGAAACATGTTGTGAAACCTGAATGTGCAAACTTTTGTTAAACTTGTTTTGCCCTGATTTTGCTTGCTAGGTTAGTAAAACATGTTTGGCTACTATTGTAAATCATCTAACAATGTTTAGTTCAATTTTTGGAGCAAAGTTTGTATTCAAATTAATTCAAAATTTGGCTTCAAAAATAAATTCCCAAAAATTAGGGTTTTGAGTTAAACGTGGACTTTGACCTTGCAATTCAAAATCTAGAAAGAATTTGACTGTGGTCATAAAAACAAAGTTGTAGAAAATTAAATTCTAAGCAACTTTCATTTTTGGTATATTTTCAAAAGATGTTATTTTCTTGCTCAAAATAATATTTGAAAGATGGCATTTAAAAATTCCTTAAAAATACAAATGAAAAAGGATTTTTCCTCCTTCATGGGTCCGCCGCCTCACTCTCGCCCACGACCAAGCCGCCCAGCAAAGATCATCCGCCACAAGGCCGCCCGACTCGCCTCGGCTTCGGCCAAGACCACACCTTGTTGCCTGCCTCCACATGCCTTTGCATTGACCATTGGGCCATTGACGACACCGCCAGCATGGCCGAGCCAGCGTGCAGCCATGGCGTGACCAGGATTGCGCCATCGGCGTCGCACGTCGTCGTCGTCATGGCCTGCCTGCGCGCGCGCGCCGCGCCCGCCTACACCTGCTGGAGCGGTCGCGCTCGCTCACTCCCTGCTGGCTGCCTTTCTCTCGCCAGAGCCGAGAGCCCCAAGCTCGCCTTCTTGCGCCAAGCACCCCGCCGGCGCAATTCATGTGCTGACTCCTCCACCTCGGCCGGCAATCGCGCGCCAGCAGCTCCGCCTCGCCCTCCTTCAAGTTGTGCTCGCGTTTGCGCCACCCACCGAGCTCGAGGTAGAGCCCGCCTCGGCCTCGCCACCCATGACCATGGCGCACGCGTGCTCGGCCGCCATGGAAGTCACCTCCTCCTCTCCTTCTCCACCCGCTTAGTTGTCCCACCGCATTCGCCATCTTCTCGCGCATCCCGTGCGCCCGCTAGCTCACCCTGCCGTGGCCGGAGATGGCCGCCGACCTCGTGGCAGAGCCGCGCCAGCTAAAGCCGGCAGCCCTGCCTCCGCCCCACCAAAGAGAGCCGAGGCAGTGGGTGACGACGCTCCGGGCCGTCTTCCACATCCCTTGCGCTCGGGCCGCGCAAGAAAAAATGTGGTTGTAATACCTGATTCAATGGGCTGGCCCAAAGAACGCTTAAAGAAATTGTTTTCAATTTATTCTTTATTATTTGAAAATAGATATGGTTTGCAAAATGTTTGGATACTCAAAGTTGCTCCAAATCTATTGAAATAAATTTGTCTAGGTTTCTTATCATCAGATCTACTTGGGAAAAATTGTGCATGTCATTTTTGAGATACTTTGCTGTAGAATTTTATTTAATCATGAATATTGCTGATAACTTAAAAAATATGTAGAAAAATCTATAGGCTTCAGAAAAATATGATTTCAAGTTTGTTAATCTCCTTATGTCATGTATTTCCTAGGAAAAATATGTTTCATGCATGTGCTTTGGGAAAATTTTGAGGTGTAGTTCAAGCACCTTTAATAGCTGATGTTTGTTATTTTTGCTAGAGAGCAAACTTTGTATAAAACATGCATGTGATAATTTTTGTACAGTCATTGTATGCTATGAAGAACCTAGGAAAAATACTAACTATGTTGTTTGACACTTTTCACAGTTCAAAGTATTTTTATGTTCATAATCCTGCCATGCCTTGTCAGTTTTGTGTAGACTATTTTACTTATCCAAACGCCATAAAAATTTTATGGTAGTCTACTTAGAGTAGTACTATGCTACTGCAATTTTCTTAGATTTTTATAAGCAACAAAAATATAGGTTGCTGTTGTAGCCCTAGTTTAAAATGAAATAAAATAATCCTCTTTAATGCAAGTTAGTTAATAATGTTAGCTTTGGTGTATCTTTGAAGCATTTAATAAGATGTGTTGACTTAACCTATTAGTAGTAGAAGAGAATACAGTAGATGACATGTGCTTGTAGTATATTTTCTTGATGATGTTGACTACCTTGCATTCAAACATATCCATTGTATTCATCTCATCCGATGCACCGATTGCATAAGCACTCACGCATTGCATCATACAGGATCGCAAACCGAGAACCCAGTCGTCATACCCGAGGAGCCCGAGGAGCAGTTCGAGGTGCAGCCGCAGGAAGTGCCAGAAGCCGACGAGGAGGACGTTGAGGAACTTCCAGAGTGCCCTGATCACCGTCCGAGCTCCTTCGAGAGAGGCAAGCCCCGGAGCATTTTTCTCCCGGTTTGCAATGATTTAATTAAATGCTTTACTTTAATTGATGCATTACGTTCAGTAGTTATTTGCAACCATTGCTGCATTATACCTTGTTTACCTTTGTTATACTATATCCTTGTTACCCTGGTATCCGCAGTCGAGTCAATGCTTAGCTGGCTTAGACCGGTAGAAGTCGGGTGATTTCATGTCACCTGCGAGCTATAGGTGGTTACCTGGATCTGCTTGGATGACTATGATACGCGAAGCTTTTGCGTATGCGAGAAAAATGTTACTGTCGTAATGCTATTATAACAATTTTGAGATGCACAAGCGTCCTTGTGTAGTGATGCAAGTTTTGACGGCTTTATTCACTGTTTTGTCTGTCTAGAATTTATATACTTCTATTAAAACATATTAATAATACCCCCTCCT